CATCACTGTCCAGCGCCTCTACGACGACGGTTGGGCACTTGGCCGCACCGAGGCGGGCACCGAGGGCGCCTTCCCGCTGGTCTGCGTCACGTCGACCAAGGGCGGCACCACCAGCGGCGGCTCGGGCGAGGGCCTCGGGTCGAGCACCGGCGGCGTGACGAGCGGCAACGACGGCAACGTGACGAGCAGCGTCGACGGCGCCGTCACGGCCGACGAGGGCTTCACCAGCGACGCCACGGGCCTGCAGCAGCGGCGATGAGCGCCGGGGAGGTGGGGCCGGGGGCGGGGCATCGTGCCTCGTTCTCCCCCCCCTCTTTCCTTGCCTCGCCACCTTTCACGACCCTGCTCGCATCTCCGCCACCATAGAAGCTCCTGCCGCTGCTCGCGTTTCAACCTTCTCTTCCTAGGACTCGCACTCGCCCTCGCCCTCGTCAGCGGCCGAGTTCGCTGCCGTGCGCCTCGCCCTTGCGCAGCCTGCGCCGCGCATCGGCGCTCCCAACATCTTGTCACGGGCTCCCCTGCTTTTCGCTTCCTATCCGCCCCAGCAGCCTCTGCTCGGGGCAAGGGATGGCCTGACGGTCCACACGCTGGACCCCCGGCCTTGCCTCGCCTTTCTGCCCCCACTGCCCACTCTCGTTTTGGCTCCTGCTGCCTGCCCCTCTGGCCCTCTACGTGCGCCGAGGCTCGGGCTTCAGGACTGGTCCGTAGCTTTGCCCCCTCTCTTCCTGTGCCTCTCCCCTCCTCTTCTCCCCTCGCCTCTCTTTTCCCCGTCCCCACCGCCCCGTCTCTCGTCTACACGCTCCTTTGCGGTCTTGGCCTGATCTCTGCCCCTCCCTGTATCCTCTAAGCCTCTCCCCGATCCCCCTCCGTCTCCCCCCACAGCTGGTGAGGCCCTCCACGATAGAGGGTCTCCGGCGTCTTGTCGCTCTTTGAGAATGTGCCCACTCCACTCTGCCCTGATTGCCTGTGCGCTGTGGTCTGCCTGCTCGCATGTCTGTGGCGGCCGCGACGACGACGACGAGGAGCGCGGGTTGGCTGCTGCGCACGGCCGTGACTTCGTGTTGGATGCCCAGCGGTACACGCGCGTGTGTGGAGGAGCGCCGACGATGTCGGCATGACGCGCGTCCATCCTCGCTCCCTCCTCGCCACCTCCATCTCCCTGATCCCCTCACGCTTTGCTCCGACCCGACCAACTCTCCCGCTTGTTCGACGTCCTGTCTCTGGCGCACACGGTCCGCAAGCATGCCAGCCGTATACCCGCTCACAATCCCGCCGTCGCTGCTGCTAGCCGTGCACGGCTACCGCAAGGGCTCGCTGTCGCTCTCGGGATCCGTGGCAGCCGCGACGGTCGGGTACGCTTCGCTGGCCAACCCGCACCCGCTGTTCGGGACGCTGCTGCTCGTCTTCTACTTTACCGGATCACGGGCGACCAAGGTCAAGGCCGACGTCAAGAGGCGGTACGAGCGCGAGGCCCACCTCGCACACGACGACGGCGACGCCGAGGATGGGGCGGCCGTCAAGAGGGGTGCGGGAGAGGGCGGCAACCGTTCGGCCACGCAGGTGCTGTGCAACTCGCTCACCGCCGTCGTCGCCGCCGCCGCATACCGTCTCCTCGTCCTCTCGCCCTCCTCGGACTGGACGAAACACCTGCCGCGCTGGATGACGAGCGAGATGCTGCTCCTCGTCGCCGTCGGACACTACTCGGCCTGCCTCGGCGACACGCTGGCATCCGAGCTCGGCATCCTCTCCACCTCTCCGCCCCGCCTCGTCATCGCGCCCTGGAGGACGGTGCCGAGGGGCACCAATGGCGGCGTCTCCGCGTGGGGCACCCTCGTCTCGGCCGTCGGCGGTGGCATCATCGGCGCCGCGACCGTCGCGTGCCTCTCGTTCACCAGCGCTCCCCTCACGTCGACCAAGGCCATCAACGTCGTCTCCCTCGCCACTCTGGCAGGTTGTGCAGGGTCAATGGTCAGTCGTCGTCGTCGTCGTCGTCGTCTGAAACACCTCCGGCTTCCCCTCGAAACGCGGCAGTCTGACTGACACTCCCTTTGCTCTCCTGCTCCTCTCCGCTCCGCTGCACCGCACGCGCACGCGCACCACAGATCGACTCGATCCTCGGCGCCACGCTGCAGCAGACGCTCTTTTCAAAGGAGCGCGGACAGGTCCTCGTCGGATCGCCTGCCGCTCCTTCGTCGTCGGCGCCGTCGGCGCGCCGAAGCAGGCTGGTGGAGAATGAAGGGTGGGAGGCCATCACGGGCTACAACATCCTTTCGAACAATTCGGTACGTCGCCTCCTGCCTGGCATCAGAAGCGGGAGATGAAGAAGGCGAGGCGAGGCGAGGCACGAGTCGCTGATCTGATCCCGGTCGGCCTCCCCCCCCTGCTCGCTCGCTCGGTCGTGCACCGTTCAACAACGTCGCTCGCATCCGCAGGTCAACTTTATCGCTTCCCTCGTCACGGCCCTTGGTACCGCCCACGTCGGCACAGCCTGGTCCGTCCTCTGAGCAGCGGCTGCATTGCAGAGGCAAAGGTCAGACGCCGCACCTTCCTCACCGACCTGCGCCTTTCCTGGGCTGTCCCTCTGTAGACCCGACCCGAACCGACCCGACACACTCGACAAGGCGAACCGACCGCTGGCTGTTTCCGCGCTACGGAAGACGGATTTGCTTTGATTGCTCCTCTCCGCGTACTGGTGCTTCTACGACGGCGACGACGGACGGCTCGGCGACGGCATGTCGCTCGACCACGGGCGGCAACGGCGAGGGCGAGGGCGAGGGCGGAGGCAAGGGCGGCGGCGATGCAGGCAGGGCCGATCAGGGGTTGAGGCTGTGCGGGAAGTTGCCCTCCTCTCGCTGCTCGTCCCACTTGGCGATCTGTCACGTGGAGAAGAGGTGGTGGGGGGGGGGAGTTGGGGCGAGCGACATCAAAGGATCAGCGCCAGGATCTCTCGATGCTTGAGCGGCCCCATGCGAGGCGACGAGGGAGATCCCCGCGGTACTCACCCACTCGTCTGCAGCAGGAGCAGGTCGCCATGGCATGAAGAAAGGGAATAAGGGGAGGGTGCGAGGACGGCTGGTGGTCAGGTCCCTGTGCGACCTGCGCGTCTGGACGAGCGGCGGGCCAAGATCCACTCACTGGGGCAGAGGGAGTGGTAAGCGCGGAAGAACTGCTTGCAGGGCGTGAACTCCTCTCCCTTGGCGTTGATGCACTTGTAGTAGTCGACGTAGCTGCAGAGCGGGCGGGCGGACAATGGAGGCCGACAAGGACCTGGTCAGCGCCTCGGCAAGCCGAGAGAGGGCAGAGGGGCCACGGGGCGGGCACAGATGGGTGCAAGGAACTCACTTCTGCCAGCTGTGCGAGGTGGGGAACACGCCGATGCGAACGGGGTGAAGGAGGAGCAGGAGGAGGCCGTCAGCTGTCGGGTCTCTCGATGGTGTAGCGGCGGTAGGAACGGGCGGCAGCTGTCCGAGTAACTGGGGGACTGCAGGCCCCAAGGTGCGGCGGCTCTGCGGTTCAACGCCATCGACTGCGTTTGGCCGCATCGATGGCCTGCGTGCCGAAACCATCGCTGGCCACGAGTCTTTGAAGCCAGGACGAGGCAACGACATGGTGGCCAGGATCCGTAGGCGACATGGCGGCATGGCTGGGCAGGATTGCAGGCAGGGACGAGAGAGGAGACACGAACCAGTGCTTGGTCTGGTTCTGGTTGGGGAACCGGGCGTCAAACGAAGCCGTCTGGAGGGTGAAGGACTTGGTCTCGCTGTCGGACATGGTGCAAGTGGCTGCTGAGCTGGCGGTGGTGGTGGTGGTGGCGGTGGCGATGGGGGATGCAGCGAGCGGCGGTGGCGGTGATGGTGATGACGAGCAGAAGCGAGCGCCTCGGTGACGAGTCCGGGTGCGAAGTCCCTGTTGCGACGGCGGGGCCTGGGCTGCCCAGCAGGCTGCCCTTGGGGCGCTGGCTGGCTGGTTGGCTGCCCGCCTTCCGCCCGAAGAAATGGCGATTTCTCAGCCGGAGCGCCAGTGCGGATCGCCTCGGGTCCATCCAAGCGCACACCGGAGCCGACGAGCAGCCCCGGGACAGCCCAGGTTGGCGTCTCAATCAATTCGGACCTCATGGAGCCAGCCAGAAGCAAGGCGCGATCACCCGAGCCGCCGCCGCGACCCTCTGCTGCGCCCTCACTGACCCACCCTCACCCACCCTCACCCACCCTCATCCCACCACCCCTTCACCACCACCACCACCGCCACCACCACCACCACCATTAACTACGTCCTTCCACACCGTATCAACCCCCCGGCGTTGATCGCAATGGACTTCCTCAAGGCCGAGATCGCCAACAAGCGAAAGGCGCTCTCGCCTCCCACGGCCAGCGCATCGCCCTCGGCCTCTGCCGAGCCGCCGACCAAGTACATGCGCAGGGGCGAGCTGGAACGGCTGCAAGAGCAGCAGAGGAGGGCAGAGGAGCAGAAGCAGAAAGAGGAGAGGGAAAAGGCCAAGCGGGCGCGCGAGGACAAGGCCAAGCGGCCCGCCACCGCTGCAGCCGCCTCAGCCTCGGCCTCGGGATCATCGACACCGCGCCGCGACCGCACCACCGGCAGCTCGTCGCCTGCGCCGACGACGGCAGCCTCCTCGTCCGCCAAGGAGGCATTCAACATCTCCAACCACGAGGCGGTGCGGCGGCTGCGTGCAAAGGGGCAGCCCATCCGCCTGTTTGCCGAGACGGACAAGGAGCGGCGCCTGCGGCTGCGCGCCCTCGAGCTCATCGAGGAAAAGGGCAGCACCACGGGCCAGAACGACTTCCGCACAGCCATGCAGAGCGCCGAGACCGACATGGCCCTCGAGCTGCTCGAGCGGCGCAACGCCTCGGACAAGGGCAAGGCAGAGCGCGACAAGCTCGACGGCAAGGCAAAGGACAGCGCCGCCGCCGCCACCACCACCGCCGGCAAGGGAGCGGACGGCGGAGCAGCTGCGTCCGAGGGCGCGGCGGCAGACGAAGACGACGGAAAAAAGGCCGGCAACGAGTACACGGGCATGGACGGGCTGCTGGACCTGAGCCTGATCAAAAAGGACACGGCGCGCGTCTACCCGATCATCTATTACACCCTCAAGGGGCTGCTGCAGGACTGGGCCGAGCACATGGCCGCGCGGCCCGACGACCTCAAGCAGACGACACAGGGCAAGCTGGCCGCGGCCACCCAGGTCCAGGCGTCCGAGTACCTCAAGCCGCTCTTTAAGCAGTTGCGGAAGCGGGTGAGTAGCCGTCGTCGCCCAGAGCCGTCGATGCAGCCGCCGCTGCGCACCTCTTTCCACCCTCACCGAGCCATGCACCGATCCAATCAATGGCTGGCCCATCGACTGGATGACTGACTGACTGACTGATGCTCGCCCGCCTCACCTCGATCCCCTTGTCTCTCACGCCCCCGCCCCTCGCAGACGCTGGCGCCCGACGTGCTGATGCGCATCGCCGAGATCGTGCACTACATGCAGAAGCGCGAATACCGCAACGCCAACGACTCGTACCTCCAGCTGTCGATTGGCAACGCGCCGTGGCCCATTGGCGTGACCATGGTCGGCATCCACGAGCGTTCTGGGCGCGAAAAGATCTTTAGCTCCAACGTGGCCCACGTGCTCAACGACGAGGTGAGCCGCAAGTACATCCAGAGCCTCAAGCGGCTCATGACGTTTGCCCAGACGCGCTACCCGCCAAAGGACCTCAGCATGCTCATGGGCTGAGCGAGGCGCCGCCGTCGCCGCCGCCGCCGCCGCCGCCGCAGGGCGAGAGCGACGAGGATGACGACGTCGAGACCCGGCCAGCGCTCGCCTGCCCTGCTTGTATGTATTTGTAGCCGTCACATTCATTGGTTCTCGATTGCATTGCATCCGTTCTAAAGGGTCCGGGGGGACGAGGTGAGGGGCCCTGCTGGAGAAAGTCGAGCGGGTGCGAGCGAGGTCGAGCATGGGAGCCCTGCCAATCTTGTGCTGTGGCGATTTCACGCGGGGCTTGGTTGGCGGCCTGCCTGGGCCCCGGCCGGCCTGCATTCGCTCAAGTGTGCCGAGC